TCATCAGTGGCGAGGTCGAATCTGCATCTGCGTAGGGCACCACTCCGCTGGACCCCCCCGCAGCCCTCGAAAGTGGCGACAGCTTCGCAGATCGGAGCCTCCCAGAGATGGCGAAGTCTAAAATGAATCTGCGGCGAGTGCCCACTATGCTGGCCCCCCCAGCAGCCCTCGAAAGTGGCGACCGTTTCGCAGATCGCCGCCTCCCAGAGATGCCGAGGTCTAAGCTGAACCTGCGGCGACTACCCACTATGCTGCCCCCCCCCAGCAGCCCTCGAAAGTGGCGACCGTTTCGCAGATCGCCGCCTCCCAGAGATGGCGAGGTCTACCGACTATGCTGCCCCCCCCCCCCCCCCAGCAGCCCTCGAACGTGGCAACGGTTTCGCAGACCGCAGCCTCCCAGGCATGGCGAGGGCAACCCAAAAGGCATGGCGAGGTAAAAGGCAGACGCAACGAGGAGATGAGGACTGAAGAAAACAACACAGAGAGGAAGGAAGAGAGGAGGAGGGAAGCGGGAGAGGCGGGTCGCGACTGCAGTGCTCTATTCAAAACTAGTACCCATCACAGGAGGGTTGGGAACGATAGTCAACAGGGACTCAAAAATAGTAAGTCCAACAAAAATCAACAAGTCTAACAAATCGTCCCCTGTTGAATATTCCTCCTGTAGAGAGACAGGCCCGACTTAACACTTCATCAAGAATCGGGGACGCACTGACCTGGGTCAATCCAGACCCGGGTCAGTCAGGCCTTGAAGGATCCTGCAGGATCCTGCAAGGTTCTGCACCCAAACCTGGGTCAATGCGAAGGATCCTGCAGGATCCTGCAAGCTCCTGCACCCAAGCCCGGGTCAATGCAACCCTGGCCTTGCAGGATCCTGCAGGCTGCGGCGCTCTGGCTGACCCCGTTTGCACTGATCCCCGTCTCAAGGCGCGACGGCAACGCAAGCACTCCCAATGCCAAGTACATCTAGCCATCATGTGCTGGTCGCGTCGAGGTCTATCCACATCGGGTTCAGGACGTCTAACGTTGAAAGCTCGAGCGCAAACCCAACGCCTTCGCCAAACACGCATCGCGGGAGATGTTGTCGATCGCCCTCTCCAAAAAGTCAGACGGCCACACGAAGATGGGCGACTTCTCGCGCTGTTGTCTCCATGGCCGCCCAATGCGCGACGCCGTGTCCGCGCCGACCTGCCGAGAGGCCCTCCCCGGTGCTCCTGGTCTCTCAGGCAGGCGCTCCGGGCCACTCCCGGGCCCTTGCCGTCGCTCGGACGTCCATTCCCCGTGCATTTCTTGGGGTCTCGTGCTTTGTTTGTTTTGCTTGTTTTTTTGTGTGTTTTTTTCTCCTCGATGGTCCAGGAGGGTCCTCGATGCTTCTCGCCGAGAGAAAAAAAAAAACACGCGTCCAAGCGATGCCGAGGGGCCTCCCCGCACGCTGAGCCAGGCGTTCCCCCAGGCGTTCCCAGGAGCTCCGCGCCGCCGCCCGAGGCTCCAAAAATGACACTCCCTGGCGCTCCGCGTGAGCATTGGCACGCCTGCCGAAGGCACTCCTCCCGGCGCCCCCGGGCGCTTCGAGCCGCTCCCATGCACTGGATGAGCGATTCTGGGCGCTCCTCGGGAGCTTCCTCCGAGCCCGTTCTTCATTACTTTCGGTCACGGTCTGTACCCGGTGGGGAGGGGTGGGCGGGAGACCCGAGCGACAGCACAGCCGGGCTGTAGAGGGAACGACAAAGAAGGAACAAACCCTCTTCTTGACCGCAGCGGCGCCTGCGTGCAAGAGGAGGGCTAGAGGACCAGCCATGGAAGGACCTAAGGAACATCGAGCCCCTTCCGAATCCGATCTGTTTCGTATTTCAGCGTCTTGGCTGTAACATTTGGACGGAGCGGGGGAACTTCGGGGCGGGAGTTTTGTCCCGTCGGCATGCCGAACTGAAGTACCCTCGGTGGTAGCGCTATGATTCGCCTCCAGGTATGCAGGAGACTGTAACAACTCTTCTCGCACACTGACACCCTAAGCGCAGACGGCGGTGCCAAGCGGGTTTCTTGACCTCCCGCTTCGTGGGTAGTGTCCAAGAGAGGCAAATGCGGAACCAGATTTGCTGTGGCGGGTGGCTGAGTGCGGCAAAACTGAATGTGCGCGAGAAATGCAATACGCCTGCTGCACCCCTCGAACGGCTCGACCCATTCGTTGATGCGGCTTGGGTGTGCATTAAATTTGGTCTTCCTCCTCGTCCCCCTCCTCCACCTCCTCCTCCTCCTCCTCCTCGTCCCCCTCCTCCTCCTCTTACTGTGGGGATTATTGGAGTTCTCGGCAGGGACAACAATCTTCTCCACATTGGCCCCAAAACATGTGCCAGCGCGCGCCCTGCCTGAAAGTTCAAAGCGACCAACCCGAGGAAGCCCCCCCCCCCCGAAAGCCCAGATGAGAAAGCAGAAGATGTCCTCCTCTTTCTCCTCTTCCTCCACCTGTTCCCCCTCCCCTTTCTCCACATGTCCCCGCTACGCCTGAGATCCCTGCCTCCCACTGGTAAGGGGGCGATCAATGGGGGGAAAAAAAGGTGCACTCTTCGGTCCCTGGAGGCCCCCTTTTTGGCCGCAGGGGGGCCCCCTCCGGGGGCCCTGGAGGGCACCTCTTCTGCAGCCCTCGCTGCCACGGGAGGAGTCGAACGGGCAGACCTCGGCAGAGCAGTGAGGCCTCGCGGAGGAACCGGGATCCGCATCGGAACCCGCAGCCGCATCGCATCGGAAAAGCGGCACCGATCGAAATCGGACCGAATCGCATCGGAGGAATCGAAATGAGCCCTGCACGCGACGCCCATTCTTTGGAGTCCCGAAGCGGTGCGGTGACAGACCGTGCGGTGACCTCGAGATCCACCAAGACGTCACCGCACGGTCCGTCAACGCACGGTCTTGGGACCTCGGATGCCCCAGTCGCCCGAGACGTCACGTCCTCGGAGAACGACACGAGTCTCGAAACCGTGCGGTGACCCCGAATCCCCACCGACTCACCACACGGTGTGGTCACCACCCCGTTTGGGGGTCCCCGAATTCCCAGCCCTTACTTAATCTTCCCGATGTTTGAGCAGGGACCGACCGTCCCGGCATTCCTAAAGTCCTACCACGAAGCGTTCTTAGAACCTTCAAATGTTTCAAGAACCAAAACCATGTTCTTAGAACATCAACCCGATGTGACAAAACACGACAGCCTCCGCCAGACATGTTCTGAGAACATTTCGTGGAAACCATAAGGTTCTCAGAACATTGCTTGGTAGCGCTATAGGCGAGCCAAGACGCTTCGCCACTGGGGTCGGGCGAAAGGGGGGGATAGCAAAGGGGGGGTCTGAGAATCAGCTCACGTGGCTGATCTCCCCGGCGCCTCCCGGCGCCGGGAGGCGGCCATGTATCGAGGACTGGGCCCAGCGGCGGGGCCGAAGCCAGCGGCATGCAGCAGATTTCGTACCCCCCCCCTTTCCCACCCCCCCTCTTTCGCCCGGCCCGAGAAACTCTGGGGGGGGGGGGCGGCGGCGAAACGAGCACCTTTCGTGCCCCCCTTGACTCCCAGGGGGCCCCTGCGGAGCCCCCAAGGCTGGCCTCCGGGGGAGGAGGAGGAGGAGGAGGAGGAGAAGGAGGAGGAGGGGGTAGGAGGGGGGAGGAGGAGGAGGAGGAGGAGGAGGGGAGGAGGAGGAGGAGGAGGAGGAGGAGCCCTTGAGGTTTTGCCGTTCGCCCGTCGTCCCAGGCCTGCGCCCACGGACGCGCCGCCCCGGCGGCGCGCCGCGCCACCAGCGCCCCGCGCTGCGGCGCGCGCTCCGCTGCCGCAGCAACCCGAGACGCCCCCCCCCTCTCATCTCCTCCCCTCCCCCTCCCCCTCCCCTCTCCCACCCCCCACCCTCATCCTCCTCCCCCCTCATCCTCTCCTCTCATCCTCATCCTCCTCCTCGTCCTTTCTCCTCCTCCTCCTCCTCCTCTTTCTCCTCCTCCTCCTCCTGCTCCTCCTCCTCCTCCTCTTCCGTAGCCATTTTGGCTCAAGGTGTCGTTCTGGAGAAACGACCTTCCGTGTCGCGCTCTTGGAAGTTGCGCGGCGGCACGGAGCCAGCTTACGTAAATCCGACGGCAGCGGGCAAGACGTGGGACTGCCGCGACCCTAAATGTCAGTACGGGAACTTCAAGTGGCGCAACACATTCCGGCAGTGTGGAGCCTCCGCACCTGCAAAGGTTCTCAAGGGGCTTCGGTTCCCAAGGACAAGAACAAGGACAATCCTTCCCAATAGGGAAACGAACTCTATACACCGACACTTTTCCGACACTGCGCTGGAGTTCGCACAAGAACGCGGATCCTGGTGTATACGGGACCCTGGTGTACATGTTTCGTTGTTTCCATGGGAAAACGGGACAAAGTATACACCACACCTTACCGACGTCGTCCCCGACCCTCGAGAAAGTACTGGGATTGAAGAACCGCCCGCCACTGGTAATGTATGTTCCAGTTTCCGACCCAGGACCTGGTGCTCAAGACCTGGCGGGAGGAGGAGGAGGAGGAGGAGGAGGAGGAGGAGGAGGAGAAAGAGGCGGAGGAGGAGGAGGAGGAGGAGGAGGAGCACTGGGAAAGACGTCGGCGACGTCAGCCAGTTCGCGGAGGCCCAGGGCAGGGCAGCGCAGGAGCCCCCCCATCGACCCTTGGGACCCGAGGACCTGGCCGAGAGGTCTCTACAGGACCTGCTGTCCAGGAAGCAGCACAAGTGAAGGGGCCCTGGGACACACAAACAAATACAGACAAATAACCAGGTCCCCCATATTTTCCCATATTTTCTGGGTTTCTGTCGTCCCCCCCCCACTTCCCATAGTTTCCCATATTTTCGGGGGAATCGACGATGAATTGTGTCTGTGTGCTTTTGTCCCTCCTGACTGTTGTCCAGGAAGCAGCACAAGGTCAGGCAGGTGGAGGCTGCCAAGCTGCGTTGCGAAGAAGCTGCCAGCGCCGTCGCCGCATACACACATCTGTGGCCCAGGCTGAGCACAAGCAGTTGGCCGGCCATCGCGACTATCTGGCCAGCATCGAGAAGGTAATCCAGGAGGCGCAGGCACGATCTGTGCTTCCTGTGCCCAAGGAGGCTGACCAGCCCCCGGATCCCGTGGAGGTCATGGCGTCCATGGAGTCATTCACCAAGTTGTTCGAGCGCGCCTCGGAGCAGTTCGGTGTGGACTTCAACGCCCAGGTCAGGCAGATGTCAGAGAAGCACGACAAGCTCAAGTCTGAGGTTGCCTCGGCAAGCGCTGCTCCGAGGGGCGCTGCTGCTGCTGGGGCCCCTGAGGGCGCAGGAGGCGGCGCCGCTGCCGACGCCGCCATGTCCGACGCCCCAGTTGAGCTTGACATCGAAGATCCTGACGTGGCCCAGCACTGCGCGGACGCAGGCGTGTCGGGCATCGACAAGGCATTCCTCAAGCGGCTCATGGACGGGCTGCTTCAGCAGGCAGCTAAGACGCCGAAGTGTGTTTGACCCCGTGCAAGCGTCGGCCTCTCCGTCTCCGCGCCAACTGGGTCGCGCCCCCGCCAGGCCGCGTGGGCAAGGAGGCGAGAGTCGCGTAGCCGGCTCAGGCGACGGCGCTGGCGTTGGCAACGCCAGTGGACCATCCGCGGCAGCGGGGGGCGGTGGCGATGCTGGGTCCATGAGTGCCAACGACTCGAGTTGGGCCTCGGGGCAAGGCCTTCTGGAGTGGGCGCGACTGGGGCAGGCAGACGGTCCTGCTGCGTTGCCGCAGGTGGTGTGCTTGCAGGAGCACCGCCTAAAGTCAAGCTCGACGGCGTCGGCGGCAAGTGAGCGGTGCACGAGGCGGGGCTACTCGCAGGCCCTGGCGCTTGCGGAGTCCACGGAAGAAGGAGCTCTGAACTCAAGCGGGGGCGTCTCGGTCTTGAGTCGGCTCCCAGCAGCGACGCACGGTGACACCTGTCACTTCCAGCTGCCCAGCCATCGCGTGGTGTCCTTGGTAGTGAACGTGGGGTTGAAGATTCCTCTCCACGTGGTCTCGCTCTACCTTGTCACGAGCGTTTGGATGAGTACTGACAAAATTGGGATCCTGGCGGGGCGGCTCATGAGCTACATCGGGAGCTCGAGTGGCCCTTGGATCGCTCTTGGTGATTGGAACTTGCTGCCGGAACAGGTTCGGGAGTTGGCGTCTGCGGCGGAAGGCGTCCTCCTCCAGTCTCGCTCGCCGACGTGCGGGTCAAGGGAGATTGACCTCGTCGTCATCAGCGAGGTTGAAGGGGCCCTGAGACACACAAACAAATACACACACAAATTATCCCGGCAAAGCAACCTAACAGTGATGTGTATAAGCATATCTGAAAGCATCCCCCTTAAGATTCAGGTGAGAATCAAGTTGTAGAATTCTGCTGTTCTCGCAGTTGCAGTCGCATTCGCAATGACAGTCGCAGTGGCAACGGCCTTAGGATCCAATGGAATCCTTCAGGAATCCTGATTCCTAGGGATTCCTACGGAATCCTAAGGATTCCTAAGGATTCCTGAGGAAGCTTAACTATGCCTACGGATTCCTAAGGATGCCTACGGATTCCTAAGGACTCCTAGGGATTCCTAAGGATTCCTATGGATTCCTACGGATGCCTCAGCCTGCCTCAGTTTCAGCCTCAGCCTCAGCCTGCAGCGGCTTGCCTCAGCCTCAGCCTGCCTCGGCCTCAGCCTCAGCCTGCCTCAGCCGCAGCCTCAGCCTGCCTCGGCCTCAGCCTGCGTCAGCCTCAGCCTCAGCCTGCCTTAGCCTCAGCCTGCCTCAGCCTCAGCCTGCCTCAGCCTCAGCCTCAGCCTGCCTCGGCATCAGCCTGCGTCAGCCTCAGCCTCAATCTGCCTCAGCCTCAGCCTCAGCCTCAGCCTCAGCCTCAGCCTCAGCCTGCCTCGGCTTGCCTCAGCCTCAGCCTCAGCCTGCCTCGGCCTAAGCCTGCCTCAGCCTCAGCCTGCCCCAGCCTCCCCTCCTCCCCCCCCCCTCCCCTTCCCCCTTCCCCCCATTCAGCCCCACCTTGTCTCAGATTCGGCCTGCCTCGGCCTCATCCTCATCCTCAGCCTCAGCCTGTCTCGGCCTGAACCTGCCTCGGCCTCAGCCTGCATCAGCCTCAGCCTCAGCCTGCCTCAGCCTCAGCCTGTCTCGGCCTCAGCCTGCCTCAGCATCAGCCTCAGCCTCAGCCTCAGCGTGCCTCGGTTTGCCTCGGCCTCAGCCTCAGCCTGCCTCAGCCTCAGCCAAAGCCTCGGCCTGCCTCAGCCTCAGCCTCAGCCTGCCTCAGCCCCAGCCTGCATCAGCCTCAGCCTCAGCCTGCCTCATCCGCAGCTTGCCTCAGCCTCAGCCACAGCCATAGCCACAGCCTCAGCCTTAGCCTGCCTCAGCTTCAGCCTCAGCCTGAGCCTGCCTCGGCTTGCCTCAGCCTCAGCCTCAGCCTGCCTCGGCCTCAGCCTCCGCCTGCCTCAGCCTCAGCCTCTCAGCCTCAGCCTGCCTCAGCCTCAGCCT